CAAAAGAATATCCTCAAGGCTAATTTGTGTGTGCTGTGGAGGGCAAACAGTAAGGCATGGGTCACTAGGGACTTTTTCTATGACTGGTTACACCAAGCATTTACCCCCAATATGAAAGATTACCTAACTGAAAAGAAATTAGACCTTAAGTGCCTCCTGGTGTTAGACAATGCCCCTGGTCATCCTACAGACGTGGCAGAGCGACTTTATGGGGACATGAGCTTCATTAAGGTGAAGTTTTTGCCTCCTAATACCACTCCTCTCCTGCAGCCCATGGACCAGCAGGTTATTGCAAACTTCAAAAAACTGTACACAAAAGCTCTGTTTGAAAGGTGCTTTGTAGTGACCTCAGAAACTCAATTGACTCTAAGAGAGTTTTGGAGAGATCACTTTAATATCCTCAATTGTGTAAACCTTATAGGTAAGGCTTGGGAGGGAGTGACTAAGAGGACCTTGAACTCTGCTTGGAAGAAACTGTGGCCAGAATGTGTAGACCAAAGGGATTTTGAAGGGTTTGAGGCTAACCCTGGGAATCCTATGCTAGTTGAGGAATCCATTGTGGCATTGGGAAAGTCCTTGGGGTTGGAGGTTAGTGGGGATGATGTGGAAGAGTTGGTGGAGGAGGACAATGAAGAACTAACCACTGATGAGCTGCTAGATCAACTTCAACAGCAAGAGGCCAGACCTGAGGAAACTGGTTCGGAGGAGGGGAGAGAGAAATTGAAGAAGTTGCCTACTTCAAAGATTAAGGAAATGTGTGGAATGTGGCTTAAAGTGCAAACCTTTTTTGATGACAATCACCCTAACACAGCTATTGCAAGCTGTGCTGGTGACTATTACACTGACACTGTTGTGAAACACTTTAGGAAAGTCATAAAGGAGTGAGAGGTACAGGCCACTATGGACGGATATGTTGTGCGACAGAAGTCCAGTGACTCTGAAGCTGGTCCTAGTGGCATTAAAAGAAGAAAGGAAGTAACCCCAGAAAAGGACTTGACACCTCAAGTCTTAATGGAAGGGGATTCCCCTTCTAAACACTAAGACTCTCTCCTCCTCCCATCCCATCAATCATCACCAGATCTTCAATAAAGGTAAGTGTCATGTAACTGTGCATGCCTTTTTCAGTTTGTGTGTATTAAAATTAATATTTCATGTGGTAAATTTTTTTTTTTCATGCTTTGGGGTGTCTTGCACAGATTAATTTGATTCCCATTATTTCTTATGGGGAAAATTCATTCGCATAACGATAATTTCGCATAACAATGAGCTCTCAGGAAAGGATTAATATCGTTATGCGGGGGTCCACTGTACTCTGCTCTTCTCATAACACTTCTGCTTTGTAAAAACCTCTCGTAAGCTACCTTTTTCTCTTTTATCACACCCTTTACTTCATCATTCCACCAATCACTCCTCTTTCCTCCTGCCCCCACCCTCCTATAACCACAAACTTCTGCCCCACATTCTAATACTGCATTTTTAAAACTATTCCAACCCTCTTCAACCCCCCCATTACTCATCTTTGCACTAGCCCACCTTTCTGCCAATAGTCGCTTATATCTCGCCCAAACTTCCTCCTCCCTTAGTTTATACACTTTCACCTCCCTCTTACTTGTTGTTGCCACCTTCCTCTTTTCCCATCTACCTCTTACTCTAACTGTAGCTACAACTAAATAATGATCCGATATATCAGTTGCCCCTCTATAAACATGTACATCCTGGAGCCTACCCATCAACCTTTTATCCACCAATACATAATCTAACAAACTACTTTCTTTACGTGCTACATCATACCTTGTATATTTATTTATCCTCTTTTTCATAAAATATGTATTACTTATTACCAAATTTCTTTCTACACATAGCTCAATTAAAGGCTCCCCATTTACATTTACCCCTGGCACCCCAAATTTACCTACTACTCCCTCCTTAACATTTTTACCCATTTTAGCATTGAAATCCCCAACCACCATTACTCTCACACTTGATTCAAAACTCCCCACGCATTCACTTAACATTTCCCAGAATCTCTCTCTCTCTCCTCTACACTTCTCTCTTCTCCAGGTGCATACACGCTTACTATAACCCACTTTTCACATCCAATCTTTATTTTACTCCACATAATCCTTGAATTTATATATTTGTAGTCCCTCTTTTCCTGCCATAGCTTATCCTTCAACATTATTGCTACTCCTTCTTTAGCTCTAACTCTATTTGAAACCCCTGACCTAATCCCATTTATTCCTCTCCATTGACACTCTCCCACCCCCTTCAGGTGAAGCAATGTTTGAAGTGCTTAAACACCTTGAAACACCTCTAATATTATAAGAAACTAGTATATATAGAGTTCAACATTGAAAGCTATTAAAAAATAGCTTAGCGTCATTAATTGTTAAATGTAAATACTGCTGGCACTTTTACGCAGCTGTTCCCGATTAGTGATAATTTTTTCACCAACTTCAACACACCATAAAATCGAAAGTTTTCGTCCGATTTTGCTCACTTTAATCTTATTCAATTCAGAAAGACAAACTCTATCAATATGTAAGAAAAAATATGTATAATTTTAATTTTTCAAGCTCCTCCCCCACACACAGGAATTTTTTTTTTTTTTCAGGATATCCCACAGTTAAGGGGTTGAGAGCATGTTTCAATTTCCACACTGTATCTTGTTTTGGAAATACATTGCTAAGGAAAGTGGTAGCCAGACTATACATATTGCATGTATAATGTACAATGATAACACCACCAATCATGATTCTAGGATTTGTTGAGGCTGGCCAACATCATAACAGGATTTGTTGAGGCTGGCCAACATCATAACAGGATTTGTTGAGGCTGGCCAACATCATAATATGACGCTAGTTCAAATTTCACAGCAAGATCTCTCATTAGGGCTAGGCATTCAGTTTCAACATTACACAAAGAAATAAAGAATTATTTTTGCACTTCAGTCTTGACTGACTAAGCAATATTGGGTGCTGATCACTACTGTTTCTTTACTACAGTAGACCACTGTTTAACACGGTAGTTACATTCCTGAAAATGCCGTTTTAGTTAAAACTGTGTTAGACAAACTGAAGAACTTATGAGAAAAATAGGGTTACCTTCCTGGGAGCCCCCAAAAAGCCAAACAACTTGTTTTGAGACCCAACAGATCTTACAAAAATAAAAGTGAATATGGAATTGTAGTTCATTGTCATGATATATTACTGCTTAAGACTACGAATGCAATAGAAATAATAGTATGTCTTACCTTAAATTGTGGGTAATGGTGTTTGTGGATGATTGTGAAGAGAGTGGATATACATGGTGTGGCCCTACTGGGCTGAGGTGGATGGTTGTTGGTTGTCAGCAGAAGTGGACAGTAGAGGTTCTGGTACTAATTTCGATGGTTGTATTGGAGTGTGCATAAATTCTGTCATGGATCTCTGGGCTCTTTTATCCTGCAGTACATTATACAGCTGATGGTAAGGCATCAACAGCTGGTCTAGACCCCATTTCAAAGTACTGCTTCTAGATTTGTCAAGGTCCTCTTCAGTGAAAAAGTCTGCTAGTTTAGCAGCAACAAGGAACTGCTCACATAACTGCTGCAATGTTAACTGTTTTTCTTCAGTTATGTGGCTCCCTTGTATCTGTGCATCAAGCTCTGCCAACATTTCCTCTAAACTCCCCGATCCAGTGGTTGTATTTGAGATGTTGTATTTGGAGGTAAAAATACAACTTTTACATGTGGGGTCATATCCAGCAAAGCTTGTGGATGAGTACAGGAATTATCCTGAATGAAGAGAGCCTTGAATGCAAGGTTCTTGGTGTGCAGGTAAAACTTGACTTCAGGAATAAAGTGATGCTTAAACCAGTCAATAAATATTTCCTCTGTCATCCATGCTGACTGGTTTGACCTCCAAATTACTGGTAAGGTGTTTTTATTTACACCTTTCAAAGCACAAGGATTCTTAGAGCAGTAAATAACCATGGGCTTACACTTGAAATTACCTGATGCATTACTGCAAAGGAGCAAGGTGAAGCGATCCTTTGCTGTCCTGAAGCCCAGTGCACTTTTCTCTTGCTGACTGATATAAGTTCGTGTTGGCATTTTCTTCCAAAAAACACTTGTCTTGTCAGCATTAAACACTTGATGTGGCTCATAGCCACCCTCAAAAGTAATTTCCTGCAATTCAGCAGGGAAATTACTTGCTGCTGTATGATCAGCTGAAGCACTTTCACCAGAAAACTTAATATTATATAACTTATTATGCAACTTTAATTTGCTAAACATACACCCTTTTTCAAGCCTTCCTTCCTTATTACACACTGCTTTAAACAACTGTAAGGCCTTTTCCCTAATTAAGATGAAATTAAGTGGTGTAGAGTGCATCCTGCAGGCGAAGTGCGCACCAAATTTTTTCCCCTCCCACAAACTGAACAGTATTAAGTTAATTTTACAAAATGTTATACAAAAATATGCTGCAATTCTTCAATAGTGCTATAACCAAAACGTGCCAAACAAAGCCATAGTAAACGACGGACTACTGTACATAAAAGTCAGTCCAAGTCTGTATGCATATGGCTTTTAATCAAAAGCCATATGCATCTTACTGTTGATAAATTTATAGTTACTACATTCCCCACATTTAGCAGTGATAATGCTGTTTGTATTCATCATGCATATCAGCACATTTACATTAGCAAAGTTTGACAGGAATGCAATTTTTCAAATTTATCTGGGTGTTTTAGAGAAAAAACACTGTACTGCATGTCTTTCCTTATCCTCTTTCATTTACATCCTCACATTTTCTTTTATTCCTCTGCAAACATTAATATGTAGGCCTCTCCCTTCATCGGTAACTTGTTAATATACACTAGGAATAGTGAAAAATCTAGACTTCTATTACTAATCCTTTGTGAAAACCATTAGTTACAATCTCCTATCCCTTAGCTGGGACAGATGTTAAAAGTACTTAAGCAGACTAAAAATGAGAAGTACTAGCAACACCACATACCTCCTACTAATATGAGGACAATAAGATCAGTGGCTGTCTTGATTATAGGCGGGGAGAGGTCAGAGCTTGGATTGTTGCGGTGACGTCTCACCACCTCCACTACTGCTTCACACACCCCACCTTGAGCTACCTGGGTCTTTACACACTCTGACAAATACATATCATTAACAAGTGTAAATATGGTACCTTCCTTTTTAACATTATAAAAAAACAGCATTTCCACATTATTATAAGCAAGAAAACAAGGAGTTAAAAAATTAGAAGACAATTCAGACTGGATATAAAGACAAAACAAAAATGAAATCAGAACATACTACTACAGCCATAGCAGAAGAAAAAATGACAGTAAAAGATCAGTGATAAGGCTGAGGAAAAAAAAAGCAATGGACTACTCACAGACAACATAAGTATGTAATTACTTTCATTAAGATTCTACAACATCTTCACAGCCATGCAAGGTGTAAATAAGTAAGTAAATAAATAAAAAAAAAAGACTGAGGGTAAATATCTTAGAGGTATAAACTGAAATTTTCAATGAGGAAGTAATGAAGTACTAAGAAAGATCTTGATAAATCAAAGGCAACAGGACCTGAAAAAATATCTTAAAGGATGCTGAAAAGAGCAGAAGCTCTGTGCAAACATTTCACCCGAATTCACAAATCCTTTGAGAAAGGGAAATGCCTGGAAGATGGCATATAAGTTTTCACTATTCAAGAAGGAAGAAAGATATGAGATGCTAAACTACAGACAAGTATCCCAGATAGGTACACCAAGCAAAGTAATGAAAAGGATAAGAATAAGTCTGGTAGAACACCTATAGAACATAGTTCTATGCAGAAAACCAACATAACTTCAAAAGCATAGCCCTGTACTCTTGTAAATGCAAATAAGTAGTGAATGAATAAAAACAAAATTTTAAAGCAAATTTAAAGCAAATGCATGTCTTTCTTCTAAAATAACACTGACACTTAATGCAGGAATTATTACTTGTTTTAATGTTACCTGTTTCAGCCAAGTTTGTCACAAGCTCAAGGCATGTTTCTGTAACCTCGGGTGACTCATTTATTCTTAGGACACGCACCAACTGTGGTGTGATGTCCCTTGACACCACCAGACCTCGTCCCACCTCTGCAAGAAAACATTTACACTGGATAAATTTTTTAAAGCTCTATAAAATCCTGTTATCTGTGATGACATGTATATAGGCAAGACATCCAAGGACCTGATAACACACAAGTGAACACTGATATGCCAGATGCACCAACAACACTTATGATGATTGCTTTCACCATTGCATTTCACAGCAATAACCCATAGATTGGCAATTTCAGGAGACAGAAATAAGAGAAAGTGCCTAGAATCTGCAACTGTTCACACCACAGACACCATTGCCCAGAACTTGGGCAACAACCATCAGTTGGTGGGGACTGTGGCTCACGTGTAATTCAGTAAACACTGTGACATAACAATGGATGTCACCTACACCTTTCCCTGCATCTTCACTCTTCCTATGCCATATAAATCTGAAGATGAAAACTAACATTTTCCATTAATCTTTCTAGACTTTAAAAAGTACGAGTTTGTGTGTGAAGAGTTCCAGCTCTTTGTTTTGTATCTTAACTTCTGACTGACTGACTTGCATAAGCCCTGCCTTATGTTTTTTTCAATTTCTTTAAAGCTTACATCCAATGTGTCAATGTTTAGATCAGGCCCTGATCCACTGCAAGGCCTGGTTATGAACAAGGCGCAGGATCACTGACCGCCAGAACACCTAGGTATACTCCGGGTATATTCACTATGAGGAATTCAGGAATACCAATTAACAAGACTTGAATTTTGTAGACGGGAAGTACAGTGCCTGCATTTGTAAGTCGAGTGGGGATATTTGGTGCTGTGGGTCATCACTGGATGGTGCTATCTATGCCTTTCTAGGAAGAAGTACAAGGTACTAGTGAATGAATGTTTTCCTTTTTGAGACACTCTACCACAGTGGAAAACAGCTGTTACAAAACAGATACTACAGTGCTGCACATACATTACTGCATTACAATGCTGTCAACAAGTTGGCCGTCTCCCACCGAGGCAGGGTGACCCATATAGAAAATCCCCAAAAAGAAAATACTTTCATCATCATTCAACAATTTCATCTCACTCATACATAATCACTGCTTTTGCAGAGGCATCCAGATACAATAGTTTAGAAGCATATATAAAGGTATATAACATCCCTCCAAACTGCCAATATCCCAAACCCATCCTTTAAAGTGCAGGCATTGTACTTCCCATTTCCAGTACTCAAGTCCGGTTATATAAAAATAACCCTGAATCTCTTCACTAAATATTACCCTGCTCACATTCCAACAGCCTGTCAGGTTCCAAAAACCATTTGTCTCCATTCACTCCTATCTAACACACTCACGCACATTTGCTGGAAGTCCAAACCCCTCGCCCACAAAACCTCCTTTACCCCCTCTTTCAAACCCTTTCGAGGATGACCCCTACCCCGCCTTCCCTCCCATACACATTTATACGCTCTCCATGTCATTCTACTTTGATCCACTCTCTCTAAATGACCAAACCACCTCAACAACCCCTCTTCAGTCCTCTGACTAATACTTTTATTAACTCCACACCTTCTCCTAATTTCCACACTCCGAATTTTCTGCATAATATTTACACCACATATTTCCCTTAGACAGGACATCTCCACTGCCTCCAACTGCCTCCTCGCTGCAGCATTTACAACCCAAGCTTCACACCCATATAAGAGAGTTGGTACCACTATACTTTCATACATTCCCTTCTTTGCCTTCATAGATAACGTTTTTTGTCTCCACATATACCTCAACACACCACTCACCTTTTTCCCTTCATCAATTCTATGGTTAACCTCATACTTCACAAACCCATCTACTGACACATCAACTCCCAAACGTCTGAAAACATTCACTTCTTCAATACTCCCTCTCTCCAATGTGATATCCAATTTTTCTTTATCTAAATCATTTGATACCCTCATCACCTTACTCTTATCTATGTTCACTTTCAACTTTCTACCTTTACACACCCTCCCAAACTTGTCCATTAACCTTTGCAACTTTTTTTTAGAATCTCCCATAAGCAGTATCATCAGCAAAAAGTAACTGTGTCAACTCCCATTTTGTATTTGATTCCCCATAATTTAATCCCACCCCTCTCCCCAACACCCTAGCATTTACTTCTTTTACAACCCCATCTATAAATATATTAAACAACCACGGAGACATTACACATCCCTGTCTAAGACCTACTTTTACTAGGAAGTAATCTCTCTCTCTTCTACACACCCTAACCTGAGATTCACTATCCTCATAAAAACTCTTTACAGCATTTAGTAACTTACTACATATTCCATATACTTGAAACATCTGCCACACTGTTCCCCTATCCACTCTTTCATATGCCTTTTCTAAATCCATAAATGCAATGAAAACTTTCATACCTTTATCTAAGTACTATTCATACATATGCTTCAATGTAAACATTTGATCAACACATCCCCTACCCACTCTAAAGCCTCCTTGCTCATCCAAAATCCTACTCTCTGTTTTACCTCTAATTCTTATAATAATAACACTACCATACACTTTTCCTGGTATACTCAGTAAACTTATTCCCCTATAGTAGTTTTTACAATCTCTTTTGTCCCCTTTCCTTTTATATAAAGGAACAATACATGCTCTCTGCCAATCCCTAATTACCTTCCCCTCTCTCATATATTTAACAAAAATACCAACCACTTCAACACTATATCCCCCCCCCCTGCTTTTAACATTCCTGTCAGTTCCAGCTGCTTTACCCCTTTTCATTCTACATAATGCCTCATGCACCTCCCCCACACTCACATCCTGCTCTTCTTCACCCCTTGAAGATGTTATGCCTCCCTGACCAGTGCATGAAATTACCGCCTCCCTTACTTCATTGACATATAAGAGTTCCTCAAAATATTCTTGCCATCTACCCAATACCTCCAGCTCCCATCTACTAACTCCCCTACTCTGTTTTTAACTGACAAATCCATTCATTTCCTAGGCTTTCTTAACTTGTTTATCTCACTCCAAAATTGTTTTTTCATCAAAATTTCTTGACAGTGCCTCTCCCATTCTTATCATCTGCTCTCCTTTTGCACTCTCTTCACCTTTCTTTTACTCTCCATATACTTTGCTCTTCTTATAACACTTCTGCTTTGTAAAAATCTCTCATAAGCTAAATTTTTCTCTTTTATCACACCCTTTACTTCATCATTCTGCCAATCACTCTTCTTTCCTCCTATACCCACCCTCCTATAGCCACAAACATCTGCCCCACATTCTAATACTACATTTTTAAAACTATTCCAACCCTCTTCCACCCCCCCCCCACTACTCATACTTGCACCTAGCCCACCTTTGTGCCAATAGATGCTTATATCTCACCCTAACTTCCTCCTCCCTTAGTTTATACACTTTTACCCCTCTCTCTTACTTCTTGTTGCCATTTTCCTTATGTCCCATCTACCTCTTACTCTAATTGTAGCTACAACTAAAGTAGTAGTAGGTTGTAGGTAGGTTGGTAGACAGCAACCACCCAGGGAAGTACTACCGTCCTGCCAGATGACTGTGAAACAGAAACCTGTAACTGTTTTGCATGATGGTAGGCTTGCTGGTTTCTTTTTCTGTCTCATAAACACGCTAGATAACAGGGATATCTTACACTTTGGTCACACTTCACAGACACGCACATGCATATATATATATATACCTACATCTAGGTTTTTTCTCATTTTTCTAAATAGCTCTTGTTCTTCTTTATTTCTTCTATTGTCCCTGGGGAAGTGGAAAAGAATCTTTCCTCCATAAGCCATGCGTGTCGTATGAGGTGACTAAAATGCCGGGAGCAATGGGCTAGTAACCCCTTCTCCTGTAGACATTTACTAAAAAAGAGAAGAAAAACTTTATAAAACTGGGATGCTTGAATGTGCGTGGATGTAGTACGGATGACAAGAAACAGATGATTGCTGATGTTATGAATGAAAAGAAGTTGGATGTCCTGGCCCTAAGCGAAACAAAGCTGAAGGGGGTAGCGGAGTTTTGGTGGGGAGAAATAAATGGGATTAAATCTGGAGTATCTGAGAGAGTTAGAGCAAAGGAAGGGGTAGCAGTAATGTTGAAGGATCAGTTATGGAAGGAGAAATGAGAATATGAATGTGCAAATTCAAGAATTATGTGGATTAAAGTAAAGGTTGGATGCGAAAAGTGGGTCATAATAAGCGTGTATGCACCTGGAGAAGAGAGGAATGTAGAAGAGAGAGAAAGATTTTGGGAGATGTTAAGTGAATGTATAGGAGCCTTTGAACCAAGTGAGAGAGTAATTGTGGTAGGGGACCTGAATGCTAAAGTAGGAGAAACATTTAGAGAGGGTGTGGTAGGTAAGTTTGGAGTGCCAGGTGTAAATGATAATGGAAGCCCTTTGATTGAACTTTGTATAGAAAGGGGTTTAGTTATAGGTAATACATATTTTAAGAAAAAGAGGATAAATAAGTATACAAGATATGATGTAGGGAGAAATGACAGTAGTTTGTTGGATTATGTATTGGTAGAAAGACTGTTCAGTAGACTTCAGGATGTACATGTTTATAGAGGGGCCACAGATATATCAGATCACTTTCTTGTTGTAGCTACACTGAGAGTAAAAGGTAGATGGGATACAAGGAGAATAGAAGCATCAGGGAAGAGAGAGGTGAAGGTTTATAAACTAAAAGAGGAGGCAGTTAGGGTAAGATATAAACAGCTTTTGGAGGATAGATGGGCTAATGAGAGCATAGGCAATGGGGTTGAAGAGGTATGGGGTAGGTTTAAAAATATAGTGTTAGTGTTCAGCAGAAGTTTGTGGTTACAGGAAAGTGGGTGCGGGAGGGAAGAGGAGCGAGTGGTGGAAGGATGATGTAAAAAGAGTAGTAAGGGAGAAAAAGTTAGCATATGAGAAGTTTTTACAAAGTAGAAGTGATGCAAGGAGGGAAGAGTATATGGAGTAAAAGAGAGAGGTTAAGAGAGTGGTGAAGCAAATTTTGTTGAAAATAAGAAAAAGTTTTGGAGTGAGATTAACAAGTT